TATCCTTTTCCAGTTCAAGACCATGATCTCAGATTTAGAGGAGCTGATTCTCATTCCAGCTGCTTCACACTCGGCTGCGAACCGCTCCAGCAAAAGCTGAAGATCATGTTCTGATGAAGCCAACAGGACCACATCATCTGCAAAAAGCAGAGACCTGATCCTCAGGCCACCAAAATGGATGCCCTCCACACCTTGGCTGCACCTAGAAATCCTGTCCATAAAGGTTATGAACAGAATCGGTGACAAAGGGCAGCCTTGGTGGAGTCCAACTCTCACTGGGAACGAGCCAGACTTACTGCCGGCAATGCGGACCAAGCTCTGACACTGGTCAAACAGGGACCTAACAGCCCATATCAGAGGGCTTTACACTTGAATTGATCTTATCAGGAAGGCTCAGGAGTGTGATCCCATTGTAGCTGAAACACGCCCTGCTCTTTTCAAATAAAGGGACCACTGCCCCAGTCTGCCAGTTCAGTGGGACTGCCCCCGATGTCTACGTGATATTGCAGAGCCGTGTCAGCCAACACAGCCCCACAACATCCAGAGCCTTAAGGAACTCCGGGCGGATCTCACCCACCCCTGGAGCCTTGCCACAGAGGAGCTTTTTAACCACCTCAGTGGCCTCAGCACCAGAGATTTGAGAGGCCAACCCAAAGTCCCCAGACTCTGCTTCCTCACTGGAACACGTGTTGGTGGGATTGAGGAGGTCTTCGAAGTATTCTGCTTACCGATCCACAAAGTCCTGAGTAGAGGTCAGCAGCACACCACTCCCCCCCCCCCCCCCCCCCCCCCCCCCGAGGCGCCGGATGGTGGACAAGAATATCCTCAAAGCCGTACGGAAGTCTTGCTCCATGGTCTCACCGAACTCCTCCCATGCCCAGGTTTTTGCCTTGGCGACCACCCGAGCCGTGTTCTGCTTGTACTGCCGGTACCCATCAGCTGCCTCTGGAGCCCCACAGGCCAAAAATACCTGATAGAAGTCTTTCTTCAGCTTGACAGCATCCCTAACCGCCAATGTCCACCAGTGGGTTCGGGGGTTGCCACCACGACAGGCACCGACGATCCTGCGACCACAGCTCCGGTCGGCCACCTCAACAATGGAGGCACGGAACAGGGTCTATTCAGACTCAATGTCCCCCGCCTCCCCGGAACATTTTGGAAGTTCTGTCAGAGGTGGGAATTGAAGCTCCTTCTGACAGGAGACTCTGCCAGATGTTCCCAGCAGACCCTCGCAATACGTTTGGGCCTGCCTGGTCTGACCAGCATCCTCCCCCACCATCTGAGACAACTCTCAGTGGGAGCAACTCCAGAGTGGTAGAAAGTCCAAACCCTCTCAAGGAAACTTGTTCCAGAGCCAGAGCCATGCGTTGAGGTGAGTCCGACTATATCTAGTCAGAACCTCTCAACCTCACACACCAACTCGGGCTCCTTCCCCACCAGAGAGGTGACAATCCATGTGCCAAGAGCCAGTTTCTGTAGCCGAGGATCAGACCGCCAAGGTCCCCGCCCTCGACTACCACCTGTCACACACTGCACCCAACCCCTTTGGCCCCTCCCACGAGTGGTGAGCCCATGGGAAGGGGGACCCACGTTTCCTCTTCGGGCTGTGCCCGGGTGGGCTCCATGGGTGAAAGCCCAGCCACCAGGCTCTCGCCAACGTGCCCCACCTCCAGGCCTGGCTCCAGAGGGGGGCCCCGGTGACCCACGTCCGGGCGAGAGAACACGGTTTCCATTTCTATAATTCATCTAAACTAAACTAAATGGAAATATGGCCCATTATTTATTTTTTTTACTTTCAAAAAGGACAAAGAGTGACATGGTCTTTGTTTATAAACAGTGAGCCCACAGGTTTTGCAGAGTCTGCCCTTAGCTAATGTCAGTATTTTTATTTATACACTGGCCATCAAAAAGCTCCCCAGTTGTGAACTGTTTATTAGCCAGTGAAAGGAGAGGCCCAGAAGTAATTTCTAGTAACCCTAAGAAGCCATGGCATCCTTTTGTTGTACTCGAACAGGTCTGACTCAGGTATCCATCATTTTGAGGAAGACTGACCATGAAGATCAAGATCGTCTTTAATGTTGAACTAAAGTTATATTGTGAGGTCTGTGAAGAGGATTTGATTTATTATTGTTCACATAAGAGCAAACATAGTAAATATAGTTCAAATTAAATTCAAAAATTTCCCACCCAATATGGCGGCGACACTGTTACGCTCTCCATTGCCCAATGGCGCGTCTGCGCATTCATGTCTATGAGCCTAGTAGCCATGCATTTATGGAAGTAGGTGTCTTTCTGAATTAGACTGAAAATGCTAGCTTTTACCATTCACTTATATTATTTCTGTTAAGCTAAAGCTAACAGAAAACTGCCAGATTTGGAGGATAGCTTGGCTGGTTACAAAATGCTTTATTCCCACTGATCTAACTCTGGGGAATACGGCAATAATATTTCACTTGGGGGTGAAATGACCTTTTAAATTAATCTAAGTGCTTTAATCAAAGTTCAAGAGAACTGTGTAACTTTAAATGCTGAAAGGCATTAAGTGGCTGTTTTCAGGTCAGTTCCATGATATGAATGCTTAGTCAACACGGGCTGAACTGGTCAATGTTCCAGCACACCTGCATTTGATTATGCTCTAATTAAGAGTCCCTAAAAGCCTGGTGGAAACTCAAGATAGGAGAAGGCAAATGTCAACTATTGAAACGGGAGGATCATTATTGGCTTTTGTTTTCAAATGTTTGTCATTAGTGAGAATCATTTACTGTCAAAACAACAAAAAAGCTGAATATTTTGTACAATTAGAGACAGGTAACCAGATATTAGGTCAATATAAATAAATGATGATAAACTATACAATTCCAGCGCTTCATTTTGTTACACATTTAAACAACTAATGTTGGCATTTTGTTACAAACCAAGTATAATTCCTTTAAAGGGTAATTTAAGAGCAGAACTTGTCCCAAAAGTGTCATTAGGCCAGGGCGTCTGTGCCTGCCGGCTTTAACAGTTGTTTTGTAGAGCTCCTGATCTCAGGTGAGAAAAAAGAACAAAAGCAGTTTATTTTTTTCTTATTTTCTTTCACTGCTTGGTGTGCAATACCTGCCCTAGAGGTTGTATTTGTGAGGCACATTTGAATTTTAGGCAACGTGACAGAAGAGGAAAACAAAGAGCAGAACTGTGCAGCATTTAGTGTGGTTTTGATTCATTCACTCATTCATTCATTTATTTGTTTTATTTTCACTTAAGTGAGGACATCTAGCTGAGCCTGAAATAAGGGGATGGAGATTTTTCTCTTTTGCAGTAACAGCAAAATAACAGAAATCAGAGATGTTTACAGATTTTTGATACATGCTAAGAACAAGGTAAATCATTATTTATTATAAATATGTTACATGAGATAGACCAAATTATTTCAGAGTAAAATTCTTTCCTCAAAAGGTGGAACCCATTAAAATATTTTTATTTTTTAAATGACCAAAAATTATAATGTAGTTTGAAATCCATTTAATAGAAACTGCAGAAGTTATGTATATGTATCATGTATCAAGTGTATATATATATATATATATATATATATATATATATATATATATATATATATATATATATATATATATATATATATATGCATGATGTGTTTGTAAAAACATTTCTTGCTATGCTTTTGAATGAATTTCATCAGCAGGATTAAAAAAGGAGAAGAGGGGGAGCCGATAAGAAGATTGACAAATTGGACCCTGACAGGTTGAAACTAAATAAATATTTTCTCATTTTCTTGAAGGGGCCATATTATGGAAAATCTACTGCTTTGAGCTTTTTATCATTTGATATTGTTATTTCCTCATGAAAAAAAAACGTTTTGGTTGCATTCATGCATTTTCCTGTTTCAGCTGCAAATTTAGAGATTTACTTTGAAAATCCAGTTTAGTGTCAGTGGAAGCAAATTACATTATCAGGCAGTTCTCCTCTCCTAGAAGCTAGTCTCTGGTGTGAAACCTGACTCCCCTGGCCACTACAGGATATAATAATAATAATAATAATAATAATAATAATAATAATAATATAATAATAATAATAATAATAATAATAACAACAACAACAACAACAACAACAACAACAATAATAATAATAATAATAATAATAATAATAATGCATTGAACTTATATAGCGCTTTTCTAGACAACCAAAGACGCTTTTCACACACTCTCACATTCACACACTGCTGGTGATGGTAAGCTACTTGTAGCCACAGCCACCCTGGGGAGGCCTGACAGAGGCAAGGCCGCCATTTGGCGCCGTCGGCCCCTCTGACCACCACTAACACAGGCAAGTTGGGTGAAGTGTCTCGCCCAAGGATACAACAGCAGGATACCCCTGGCGGGAGCTGGAATCGAACCCATGACCCTCCGATCATGAGGCAACCCGCTCTACAACCTGAGCTACTGCTGCCCCTATGTGTGTTAGGCAAGTGTTGTCATGTAACAGACTTGGTAGTCCAGTGGTTAGAGTGCCTAAGAAGTCACTTTAACCACTGGCCTAAGTTGGAGCAGGTGTGGGCGGAGCTTCAACAAACCGTTACATTTCTGGTCATGAATTCAGGCCAATGAAAATAGCTCGTATTTAATATAAATGACATCTCAATAGTGCCATTGGTAGTGTTGTATCATATCCTGTTCCTATCTTTGCTCTCAATTGTTTAAAATAGCATGATATGGAACCTTAAACAAGGAATTGTGATTCATGACCCCCCCCCCCCCCCCACCCCCCCCCCCCCCCCAAGAGAATAAAAAGAAACAAAATAGAAATATCAGCTGAATACTTTTGTAAAGCCCAGATTTCTAGGCTGGGTTTTGTTTTTATTATAAATGTAAAATCCCGACTGCTGTCGATGGTTGCTGGGGAGCGTTTTGAAAGAATGTCATCTTATTAAAAAAATGTTTTACAAAACAAAACGTGTGTATGCGTGCGTGCATATGTGTGTGTGAAGCCAGGTTTCTTACCTAGTCTTGGGTCATACTGTCTCATCTGAACTTCTTCCACGCAGTCTGCTGGGAACCATCCCGTCCTCCCTTTGACCGTGCCTTCCCAAAATCCTCCTTCACCTATACTCAACACTGTCACAGAGAGAGAGGAGGACATGTTTTAGTCAAGCGTCGTAGCACAACAAACTCCTGAGTCATTAATGTTAGAGTCACTGGAGGATGACCCAAAAGGACAAAAGTTCATGGAGCAGAAAATAGTTCTGGGCATCGGATTGTTTTCAATAATTTTAAAAGCACAAAGAGCAAAAATGGAGGAAAGGACAAGACGTTTTAATAAATTACACAGGACCCGTTTAACAGTAAAACATTGTTTACTAAGTAACATAAAGGACCTTGTTCACAAGTTTTAGATTTATTTATACAGAAACTTTCTTCAGAATTAAGAGAAAGACAGACAGACATGATAAAAAGTGTGATGGAAGAAAGGAGGCAAAAGAGAGCAAGAGGATGGGAAGCAGAACGAAAGAACTTCTAACTTCCGTCATGATAATTAGTGATGAATGCATAGTAGATATTGATCTTCCCCGCAAGGCTGAGCCAGCACACTAGTTTCTACAGCACTCATCTATTATCCCAGCAAGCTAACAGACACAGACACAGACACACACACACACACACACACACACACACACACACACACACACACACACACACACACACACACACACACACACACACACACACACACACACACACACACACACACACACACACACACAAACTCCTCTGAGATCACCAGCTGGAACTGGAACTGCCTGAGTGAGCCCTTCTCCCACTCTGGTTGCTAGGATACGCCGGTACAATGTTGCATCCGCCAGACAGCCCGCTAAATGATGTACTCTACTTCCTCGAACTCTTTTCCACTCCGGCATGACGACTGGTCATGGTGATGTAACCCGAGGCTTGATGAGTGACAGCCAGCTGGACCTCATGTTGGGAAGATTGACAGCAGAATTTCAAAGACAGTTCCTTCACATTATTCTTTGTGATCTTTTATAAAAAGATACATCATTTTGCTTTAGAATGCTTGCGGACTATTTTAGCTAATAAGCATTAAATCTCTTGTGGCCCTAAAATATGCAGGTGGTGTATCAGTAGTAGTACCTTCATCAAAAACCTGCCACATCCCATCCTAAACATGTTTACTGCCACCTGGTGGAGGCTCTGCAGTTGGCAAGGGTCAATTATATTTTCCTATTACTAATAGTTACATTATAATAAAATGAAAGTAAATCAGGACATATTGAAAAAAATAATAAAATAAAACACTGTGCCTAAACATATTTTTAATCATTTTTTAAAATCTTTTTTCATATTTTAATTGTTTTTATTTGTTGTTGTTTGTGAAGCGCCTCGTGGTTTTTATCTTGTGCGGAGCTGTATAAAAATCGTTTTCTTTCTGTTTCTTCCTTAAATTGTGACATAAAAGTCACACTTTGTCTGCTATTGCATCATATGCCCTAAGTAACCTGGTCAAATATTAAACTTGTTGCAGAATTATTGAACATATCAATTCAGTGTGATTCAAATAGAAAATTACCATTTTTTCCTCATGACTTTGTGTCTCCAACTCGTCACCAACTGTTTCATCCTAGTAAGATACTGGCTCTACTTACGAAACAACTGCAAAATATCTGTGCCAACTTTGCTCGAATTTCATGCCAACTTTCTTGCTATAATTGAATCACAAAATGTCTTGATTGCATCTTCATTTTGTCACAGTTGATCCTTATTTTATTCCTAGTTTTGCCATGATTTGATTGTTGTATTCTCTTGTTTTATCTCAACTCAGTCACAACTTCATTGATCGCCCAACCCTCCAATGACCATCTTTCATTTGTTGCACTTTCTGACTCACCGAAGACAAATCGACCGGTTCCAGGTGTGTTACATGGGATGAATCTGTGACTATGTGTTAAATATTCCAGGGACCTAAAAGCCAGACAATTGAGAACTCTTGCAAATAGATATTTGCATCTCGGTGAGATTCTTGTTTAGGCATTTCACAGATTATAACGCTTCTAAGAACAAATCCAGTTATGGCAATTGTTAATAAAAGGAAGCAAAAAGCAAACAGACGATACATGAACTGTTCCCCCTGTCTGATCTCTGATCTGACCTTCAGTCAGGCACCATTTCTTTTCCTCGGTGATGAAACTCTTCATTTTTAGTCTAACACAAGCCTTCTGTCCAAGCCTCCTCCTCTGTGTCTCTAAACGATTTCCTGTTTACTCTCTCAGCCCTCCTCTCTGTCACTCCACCTGTCTATACTGTATCAGGGTCCCTGGTGTGGACAGGGGCCGGCTGTGCTCGCTGCTCCTCATTGGTGGAGAAGAAAGACGAGGTGAGACTTCTGATTGATCTTTAAGGTTGTTCTTGTTTAGTTTGCCCTCTACTTATTTCTGGTCCCTGACATCATTACTGGACAGTATTTCAGAAATAAATAAACAGCATGTTGTTACTTAAACACATATCTAATATGATATAATAAAAGTATTCTTGGTTTTATGAAAACAACATTTGTTACCTCCTGTGCAAGATGCTATATAATCTAGAGCAGCATCTAAAATGTTGCATTGCGTTTTTACCACTTTAAGGTCAAATCCGATTTCTACTGTAGCTGTTGGGTGAGTACTGTAATACTGCACACTATTTGTTCATTCAGCAAATAAATAAAAAAATAAAATAAATAAATAAAAAGACAGTCATCCAAGCTAAGCACACGTCTTGCTGTGTAAATAGCCTCTACTTCCTGCCATCGCTGCCTGCTAGCACGGCAGTGACATTTGTTCATGTAACTCAGATGCGAGTTCAAAGGACGAGCCTGATCTGGCTCAACTCATGCAGAGGAGATCTGAGCAGGATGATGTACGACGTGTGTGTTGTGTTCATGTCTAAACAGAAAGTGCCATGCAACAAGCTGCAGCTGCAGAAAGAAAAACGCTGAAGACTATTTATGAGTCAGTCATCTAATTTCCTCTATGCCGTTTAAACTTCAGCTAAATGCTTTTTAAGATAAACTGATTAAATCATGAACGTTTTGTGTTTCTTATGAATGTCTTTCAAACAAATAGTGCTAAATTATGGTTTATAAATTATTCAATGTAATATTTATATCAATTAACACCTCAGCTGGACATGAGCTTTTACAGCACAGCCGGCCTCACCGAGTCATAATCACCTCCAGGTCACCTACAGAGAAGTCTCGACATAAGCAACACACGCTTACCGTCTGATATTTGTGGGTTTGATTTGAATATCAGTGATGAAAAACACAGTTTGGAGCTTCACAAACACAAATATTGCCCTAAAAACAAAATGTAGCCATTATCAAATATGGTAATAAACCACTCCATTTATGTTTAATTTGTACAACTGCTCGGCTGAACAATATTCATAATTGATGGTAATTTGGGCAGCACATTATTAGGTATTGCAATGATCCCAATCTTTTTCTAAATCCTGGCCAGATAAGGGATCTACACTTGGATAAAAAAATGCATAGAATATTTAAAAAATGTAAAAATGTCTTCTCCAGTCATGATTCTATTCATTAATTTTTAAACATAAGTGCATCATTTCTTCAGGCTCTTATCATGCTGACATTGGCAGCATTCAATCAGCAGTGCTAACAATAAAAACCCTACTCATTATCCTTTTGAATTTAAAAAGTAAGCATAAACTTTTACAATGTAGACAAAATAAACCTCCATGTTAGTAGAAATCTGTCACAGATTAAGAGTTTTGTTTGTAGGATTAGTACTTTATATCAACAGTAATTACCTCTGTATTTCACATTTTGTTTTCAGCAAAGATAATTCAGTTACAGTGGGGCAAAAAAGTAGTCAGCCACCGATTGTGCAAGTTCTCCCACTTAAAATGATGACAGAGGTCAGTAATTTACATCATAGGTACACTTCAACTGTGAGAGACAGAATGTGAAAAAAAAATCCATGAATTCACATGGCAGGATTTTTAAAGAATTTATTTGTAAATCAGTGTGGAAAATAAGTATTTGGTCACTTCAAACAAGGAAAATCTTTGGCTCTCACAGACCTGTAACGTCTTCTTTAAGAAGCTTTTCTGTCCTCCACTCGTTACCTGTATTAATGGCACCTGTTTGAACACATTATCTGTATAAAAGACACTCGTCCACAGCCTCAAACAGTCAGACTCCAAACTATCCACTATGGCCAAGACAAAAGAGCTTTCGAAGGACACCAGGAAAAGAACTGTAGACCTGCACCAGACTGGGCAGAGTGAATCTACAATAGGCAAGCAGCTTGGTGTGAAAAAATCAACAGTGGGGGCAATTATCAGAAAATGGAAGACATACAAGACCACTGATAATCTCCCTCGATCTGGGACTCCACGCAAGATCTCATCCCGTGGGGTCAAAATGATCATGACACGGGGGGACCTGGTGAATGACCTGCAGAGAGCTGGGACCACAGTAACAAAGGTCACCATCAGTAACACACTACAAAGGCAGGGAATCAAATCCTGCAGTGCCAGACGTGTTCCGCTGCTGAAGCCAGTGCATGTCCAGGCCCGTCTGAAGTTAGCCAGAGAGCACATGGATGATACAGCAGAGGATTGAGAGAATGGCATGTGGTCAGATGAAACCAAAGTAGAACTTTTTGGTATAAACTCAACTCGTTGTATTTGGAGGAAGAAAAATACTGAGTTGCATCCCAAGAACACCATACCTACTGTGAAGCATGGGGGTGGGAACATCATGCTTTGGGGATGTTTTTCTGCTAAGGGGACAGGACGACTGATCCGTGTTAAGGACAGAATGAATGGGGCCATGTATCGTGAGATTCTGAGCCAAAACCTCCTTCCATCAGTGAGAGCTTTGAAGATGAAACGTGGCTGGGTCTTCCAACATGACAATGATCCCAAACACACCGCCCGGGCAACAAAGGAGTGGCTCCGTAAGAAGCATTTGAAAGTCCTGGAGTGGCCTAGCCAGTCTCCAGACCTCAACCCCATAGAAAATATGTGGAGGGAGTTGAAAGTCTGTGTTGCTCGGCGACAGCCCCAAAACATCACTGCTCTCGAGAAGATCT